GAGTGACAAAGTGGACATAGAAGTTAAGGGGGACAGGACACGGACTCTCTGTGACGCTTTCAATGGCTGTTAAACAGCCGCGCTCTCTTCAGAGCGCCTGGTTTCCTGCACCTCTACTGGAGAGTGAGCCTGTGCTCCACTATGCAAGTGTCTGATATGCATATGGTCCGTGGGGAAACACACAACTGTACCTGAAGAAACAGGATACACACACACACCACAGGGAGGCAAAGTAAACCTTCAAAATAAATAAACTTCAAAATTCTTGCTTTGCGTCTGCTTCTGGGAGTGGACAGCCCTAGGCGCGCAGAGAGGGCAGGGTGTGTACTCCAAAGCAAACATTCAAGGGTGTGTATTAGAGACAATCGTAATTAAATTTAGGCGCGAGGCCTATTATCCTAGATAATTTGCAAGGCTGCTCTGGAAAAACTAAACAAAAGAAAAGGAAAAAATGTAATTTTAAGAACAACAGTAATTCTATGGATAAAATACATCCCCACCCATCAGCTCAAGACATGATTTGGGTGTTTTTCTGTTTAATACACTCTGCTTCTGTTTTTCAACTCAGAGAGGTGAGCTTCCGTTGCACCCTGTCAAAATCCTTCTCAACAGGCAAGGGGAAAAAAGCAGCACAGCTGCCCTTGGGCAGGGTTTTAAATCCTACTGGTCAACCACCCCATGCTGTAAGACGCTGTGGTTTTCTGACACGTCTACACAGACTAGTGGGACAAAGGCCAGCTCCAGACTTGATGTCGCTGAGCTCCTCAGCTCCATCTTGCCATCGTGCTCGACCGAGGAGACAGTCTACAGACGGTCTATAGTGACGCAGCACTTTGAGGGCTTAGTCATTAGAACACTCTGCTTTGTCCTGGGGAGGCAGCTTCTTGCTTGGCTAGTTATGGAAGCTAAGGGGTGGCTTCAAGATGCTGTCTGGCCAGAATTTTGCAGACATATCATAGAACTCTTCTCCTCCATCAGGCTTGGGTTTAGCCTCCTTTGGTTCCTGCAGTGATGCAGGAGCCTCCAAATACCAAATTATTATCAGGCGGTCTTGGGGGAACCTCTGGGCCCTGCAATAAAGTAGACAGACTTTCTATTGGAAAGTGCTCAAGGAGCAAGTCAGCCCTGATCACATCGCTCTAGAAATCCTGCAAACCACCTCTGGACTTGGTGAATGAACATTAACCACACAGCTCCTGAGAGTGCAAAAGTGTGTCGAAGGGCGTGACTGCTCCCTATGCCTCACTGAAGCGGTCGTGTGCCTCAGTTACAGAACCCGAACCTAATCATGGTGTTTGCTGTTTAAAGCAAAACTCCCTGTGACTTTAGCCAAGCCACTTACAAGCATTGTCTTCTAAATGAGGTGTTTACAGCAGGGGGCCCTTAAGGTCCAACTCAGGGGGGCACTAGCAGTCTGCCAGCCAGATCTAATCACACTAATGTGTTCTTACTTGCCCAACTTAAGCATTTGAAATCTTGAGCCATTCAAATAAAAGAATAAATGTTTGCTTTCTCTCGGAAATTTGGTCACACCAGACACGTGCCCCAGTATGGTCTTAATTATTTCATATCTTCCTATCATTTTTTTTTCCATGATGGCTTCTCCTATTGGCTTGCCAGATTCCTGGAAACTGGACGCAAATCCTTTATGTAGCACAGCCTATCTCGTTGCTCATCACGCTGCCTTCAGCCGCACGATGATTCAGTTGGGTCTCACCACAGTCAGAGATCAAGCCATCACCTCCACCAAACCTCTGGTTTCTACCATTGTAGAAGTACCGCATCTAGACAATGAATACTTAACATATTGAAATGTTCTATCTAGAATGTGCTCTTACAGTTCAGTGGAAGAAGGAAAGAGACGCCACTCTTGGCCATGTAAGATGCTTAGTCTAAAGTCAACATCTCTGAATACAAAACATAGCTTCAGGAAAGACCAGTAGGCGCAGTAGCACATGGTCCAAGCCTGTGACAGACTCAGAGAGATGACAGTGATACACAGTCCATCGACACTTGTTCTCAGGACATGGGGCGGGGGTATGCCAAAGTATTTCCAAAACCTGTGTAATGATTTCTTTAGTCATCACCTGTGCATCCTTTGGGAAGCACCTCCCTTGAGAGGTTACTGGAAGTTAGTCTGTTTAGAATATTCAGTAAAAACCACTTATCTGAAATTAATCCCTCAGAACTTCATGGGCTTAAAGCAAGATATACTTTGGCATGTCCAGTCTCTGTGGTTCCTCTTTGAGATAGTTTAATTGGGGTGGATGTAATTTGTTAAGTCGAAGAAAAGACTTCATAAAGCTTACTTTTCTAAAATTGCCTAAATCTAGTTAAATTACCTAGCACTTTGTTAAAAAGTATATCCAATAAAAACAACATGTACACCAGTTTTGGTGGAAATAAAACCAATGAAAAGGGACTCTGAAGACTCTGCTACAAATCCATTGGCAACTAATACTTCAGCAATATACAGTCACATCTGGTCAACATCTGGTTGATGTCAAAAACCCACTACGTCCTGTCTTAGGTTATGGTTAGCGGCTGAAGTTGCTGCTTTCCGAAGGCTAAAGTTGAACTTAAGCAAGACTGCAGACACACACACACACACACACACACACACACACACACACACACACACACACACACGGCTACACTCACGCAGAGCACAGAACAATGCCAACCCTGGAGGTTAAGGAACATACTAGAATGCTGTGTGGTGTTTACACGGAGGTGGTGACAGGGGCAGGAAGAGAAGGATAAAATCTTCTTCATTCCCATTTCTTGGATAATGTATCCATGGAAGATAAGTGATTTTTTTTTTAGAAAAAAAAATTGTTTGTAAAACTCATTAAGGATAATGTCTGGGGGAAGAAAGGTTGGTTTTAGATTATGTAAGATAAGATTCGTCTGAGAACACTAGGCCTGGAGGGATATTTGTGTGGAGGGCTCAGTGAGGCATTATAAGGAAGGACTAGCCAAAGAGGCTTGGTGGTCTAGAACACAGGCCGGAGGCCAGAAGCTGAGGGGGAGCTGGGGCTCCGTGGCTCTCTTACGGTCTCTTCCGAGTCGAGGTGACACGACATGGCTGAACCACAAAGCAGAAGAGGCCTCCAGAGATAACTAAACTGTTTTCTGGAATCTGCACCGAGTCTAGTTGGAGGAGGTGACGTTCTGCAGACATCCCCTTAGATCCTGAGGGAAGATGTTCAGTGGGGTCACAAGCCCTGAGGCCACCCACCCCTTTCTTCCACCCAATCCCTGCCCCTTTAAATAAAGGAATGTTTCTTGTTAAAAAACTGTTTTGAGGGCTGATCACTTGGGATTGGATAATCAACTGGTGCACTCTCCCCTGGGGAAGACTGTTTCTCCCACTCCCAGCGTTCTTTGGTTGCCTGTAGGTCTTTGTGTAGGGTCTAGGCCTTGTGGCATTCCACCATCCACATTAATGTGTCTATTATTGCCTTTATTCATTCATTCTTATTGGACATATTGGACCAATGGTCTCTGATTGATGTTTCAGCCTTACTTTTCCTACCCTGAAAAGGAAAGCACACTTAATATTAATTTTAGTCAACCTTAGCTATCCAGCCCGGGACTGATAGAATTACACCACACAGCCTACTCCTGGTGGAGACAGTGGTGTCAAAATAACATATTTCTAGGGAGGACAATGGGAAAGCCGAAGATTCTCTTACCACTGTATCTTGATATTTCTTCATATTTGACTGCCATGAATATAGACATCTCAAGTATCCTTGGTTATGTCAACCTCCACAAAGAATACCTAATTTTCAATAGTATCTCATCTTACCTTGGTCATACCATAGTTACGAGAATCAATAACACCATGGCTTTGAACAACATTTAAAGTTCAAGGACTTTACTAATCTTTAAGCATCCTTTTGTACTTGTTGTATAACAAATTCAGCTAACATCTTTGGTGGGGCCTACAAACTTATAGTAACGTCAACTCTAATACTTAGTTCCAATTCCAATCTTAAACATAACCTTGAAATAAATATAAATGAGTGGACAGAAAGGACAATTTTTTTCCTTATATACAGAAAGATCCCAATGAATTTTCGGCAAACTATCAGTCTCCAAATCTAACTTTGTAATTGTCCTCCTTAGCCTCTGAGACAGTGCAGTAGAGCAGCACTTGATAGTAGGCAGGATACAGAGATGTAACTAAACAAAGGAAGCCCCCTCATCGATACCAGGGAGCCCCTGGAATCAGGGGCAGCAGATGTCCCAGCCACCAAGGCCTCTTATTCATGCATGAGAGAAGGCCACGTAATTCAAATGGAGAAAAGCCTGTGTGTTCATTATGCTTTGAATTCTCTGCTGATCTTAAGGTCTTGATCCATATTTTACATCTGGTCAGTGGCCCAGAAGACAGGGAGAGGGGCCCAAGCTTGCCAGGAGGGGCTGATGGGCTAGCATAATTATTAAAAGTCAGAGTCCTCCTTCTCATACTCACGCTGCTTGATGTAACAGTAGTTACATCCTAGAAATTAGGATGAGAAAAGAATACAGAACTACCCCCAAATCAATACCACCTGTATGAAACACAGAGCCTTCCTGACTGCCTAGAGCGCATGCCTTAATTGCTTTTAATAAGCAAGATTTAAGTTACATCAATTGCCCGTCAACTATAAATTATGTATATGCATTCTAGTGACACTTCTGCTTTTTGTCTCCGTCCTTCTCCAGATAAGCGTGCTTGATTACAACTTCATGTTGACAAATGATTGTGGAAAATGGATTCCAAGAAAAGTCCATATCTACCCACAGTTCCCAGCCCAGCGGGAGACAAACCTTGAGAATTCCCTAAGTAACCAATGGAAGAATCTGGCCTGTGGGCCAAAAAAGTGCAAGAATCCTCAAATATTCTGCTGCCCCCAGCCCCAGCCAGCCTTGCCAGAGGCCCTAACAAACAGAACCGTCGAAGCAGATACGCAGCAAATGGGTCAGTAAGTATAAACAGCTGTACTTACATGTGTCTGGCTTGAGCTGACTGTTGGTGATGCCAAAGTACTGGGGGTTTTCAATAACAGGAATCTTGGTCATTCCAATGATGACAGCGTCGGGACCGCCCTCCGAGGAGGATGGAGTATTGCTCCCATTGGAGATGTGGTGGAGGGGGCTGGCTGAGTCATCGTCATTGCTGATGACAGAAGCTGGGCCTGCAGTTGGAAGAAGAAGAGGCACTCTGTAGTTCAATGGCTTCAGTTGAACTTTGAGTCACATGCACTCCAAATGGGTAATTTCAGCAGGGTTTGGTGTGATCACAGAATGCTTCCATCATCGCTACAACCTCATTTTAAGACGCACCCCTTGCCCCCATTTAGTGTTGCTTTCCCATTTCCCCCACCCCCGGCCCCAGAAATCCACAAATTTACTTTTCCACTCTGAGTTAACAAACCTTGGCATTCCATGTTGGTGCTGCCAGTGTAATTCATGACTTGCACTTGGCATCGTGTTTTGAAGTTAACTCTCACTGCCATGTGCATGGATGCTTCCCTTTTCATTGTTGAGTGATTCTGAATTGTGCAGGCAAGGCACACGCTGTTTGTCTGTCCCCCTGCCCACTGAAGGATGGTGCAGCCGTGAGGACTCGTGGACACATGTGTGTGTGTGTGTGTGTGTGTGTGTGTGTGTGGAGACACACGCCTCCTTTGCTCTTGTGTGAGATTGGTAAATCCTAAGGAAGGCCCGTGCTTGACATTTTGAGCGTCTAAACTCATTTACAAAGCATTCGCACAATGCTGTGTCTGTGGATTGCCACCAACGCATGAGGGCTCCCATCTCGTTTCCATTTTCTGTAGCTGCAACTCCCAGGACCTGGGTCTATGCACACCTGAAGAGCTCCCTGTCACTGAACTCCTGGCACAAATCCAGGACACCTGTCTCTCTGGGGACTGTCAGTGATGCTGAGGGTTTGGAGACCTGAGTTTCTCATCTTCGCCCTTTTACTCACTTCTTCGCGCATCTGGATCTGCTTACAGTTGGGAGTTGCGTTGGGGAATGCCCGGTTATTATTCTATGGGACTGGAGTGAGATCAGGGATATGAAAGCTTCAATGTGCTACATATACACTGATGGAGAGAGCCTGTGGTGCTATTGGGATCCCTTCATATTAGAGCATTAGCTTAGTTATGGTCCATACAAGAATTAGTTCTTAACCCAAAACCTCAAAATGCACATGCCTCTATAGTCACTCCACTACATTTTGTCCAGTCGGTATATCTACTGGCTGACGGACTCCAATCACCCAAGGTTGGCAACCAAAGTCGATTCAGAAAGATAACAATGTGTGAGAAGACTCCAGAATACTGAACATCACACGGAGAGCAGCTTCACGCGTGGGAACCCAAGTCTTTTAGACGTGGCATGAGCATGCTGTCCCTAGGGACGGTGGAAGGGAAAACTCGAGGACATAGCAATGTCAGCCAGAGCAAAGGAGCAGAATCAAACCCCTGGGGCAAGGCAGAGGCTTGCTAGAGAGGGCCGTCTGTGCTGGGCTGCCACCCGAGGGAGTGTGTTTTCAACACCCCCTTCCCCACCTCTTCCCCCCAGCATGCTTCAAGACCTCTGTGCATTCTCCACTTTTCTCCTCATCCTTAATTACTTCCGTGTAAAGCAATTACAGAAACAAAGGTTGTTTTGTCGGGTTCTGATACAGCTTGAATCCCTATTCGATATACTGATAATCCACCCGCCAAACTCCAAGATCCATCTTCCCCTCCGTGGGGGATTATTGTAGTTTGTAGTGATAACAGTTGGACATTCCCCAGCTAGTTCTGTCTTAAACAAAGTATGCAGGGGGAAGCCCACTGCTATTACCGGTAATTCTGAGAGCAGCCTCTCCATGGGAGTGCACTCAAGTTGTGCCTAATAATATACTCTGGCTTGATTCTGCAGACATGTCCTCGCGCTGCCAACTTAGAAGCCACACAACACGCAAAGCCAAGGCAAGGCCGCCACCGGTTGTGCTCATCTGTGCTCGCAAGCGGCAGAAAAACCCTGCCAAGAAGAGCGGCAAGGACAAGCCCTTACTAATGTCCCCAGCCATCTCTGTTTTGTGGTTTGCTTTCTGACAAGCCCAGATCACTCAGCTTCCAGCCAGTGATGGAAATGGAGATGCGCTATGCTTGCATTTCTGTACGTTGTCAGTAAAGCTTTCCTGCCACTGGCTCTCTTGCTAGGCCACCAGAGCGGCTGCAAGGCTACCAGCTACCAAAGCTTGCTATCTTCAGAACCCTCAAGGGAGGTGCAGTCCAGGCCACATATTTCTCAAAAGATTCCAGGGTCTGCATTGACCCCCATGGATGGGGAAGTTGCCATCTTCAAATATCCCGAGTGTTGTCATAAAACCTCTCCTTGCACCTCAGCAGCAGTTAGGAACACATTGGCTTCATTTGGTTTTGTCACTGGTTGTCCCCTGGTCCCGGTGAGGCTGTGAGAACCACAACACTGTTGTTTTGAGTGGAAGACAATGGAGATTTCTCCAGGATCCGGCTCTAGATCACTTTCCAGCTGCGGCCCGGAGCCCTTGCACGCGGCAACCTCCCGTTTAGGTCCGACCAGAGAACTCTCTCTCCTCCCCATGCGCGCCAAAGCACACCCCTTGCTCCGCAGCCCACTAGCTAAGAATCAGTCCCTCGTATAACTTAGGGCAGAGGGGTGAGGGCTGAGGACACGGTGGCCATGCGTACGGAGGGGCCAGAATTCCGTCCTGGCACTGGTAGAAAAGCAAGGCAGTTTCCCAACAGCCCTTGCACTTTGCGGAAAGTCGCCGTTGACAGATGGAGCATCACAAACCTCTGCAATTTATCAGAGGGAAATTAATTCAGCTGCTGCTCCCTTCATTAGCGGTGTTCCAAAGCCTGGGAGATTGATACAGCTGGCAAGGTTGTGGGAATTAAGACCATCTCTCTATGAACATCTTAATATAATGGAACACAGAGCACGGAGAAGTGGGGGGTGAGAAGCTCCCGGTGGGGACAATGAATGTCTATATAATTTGACAGCAGCCTGTCTGCGCTTTTTATGATTCGTGTCTTTGTGTGCCTGTGCATGGGGTTGAGCAGACACTGGGAAGAAGGAGACAGGAGAGGCGCGTCGTGGTGTGAAACTCATAAGAGAACTTGAAACCTGTATTATAACATTAATGCAAGAAGCTCGTATGAGAACTTGAAAACTGTATTGTAACATTAATACGAAGTTTAAGTTGCTAGGAATGCACACTGCAACTGGATTTGGGGTGGTCCCGACAACGAGACTGATAAACAGGAGGTCTGCACGGAAACATGTTAGCTCATTTTTGTTTCAGTGTAAAGTAAAGTACAGAGAGGCTTTCTCTCATCAAAGCTACACCATAACATGCCCTATAAATTAGTTTTTCAGATGTTTCTAAGTCTGACTGAACTTCCAATGATTAAAATGGTCATGTGGGAAATCACCTTTCTTCTCAATACCAGCAATGCCTTCCGCGGAGGGAGGGGCCGATGCTGTGGCCCCCCTGGGACCTGCTGCCCACCAGTGCGTCTTCCACACACAGAACAACACAACCAAGTCACCTTCCGTGTGTGTGGTCTTCACACACTAGGTCACCGTCTGCCTTTCCTGTCACCCTATGGCCAGATACCACAGAACTCAGGAGATCTTGGAAGGCTGGATCCTGCTGACTTACTGCAGTCAGACAGCCCTGGATCTGCCTCCTCCTCTGGCCCCCTGGCTCCTCCTCATGAAAACAATAAGAAGAGCTTGTTCCCTCATCTGTCTGTCTCCTCTACACCCTGACTGGTCAGAGGGTCTCTGCGCAGCCACACACCACCACGGCAGGACATGTTCCCTCTCGCAAGCTCTAAGTCATAAACTGACTTCACAGTGGATGTTTGACCTCACCGCTCTTGATGAATACGGCAAATGCCTCAGGTGGGCCATCGTTGGGACAATCTGTGAAGAACAGTCTATGCTGCCACTGAGGAGGATACAGCACTTTTGAACGTCTCTAAGGGCCAGCCCCCCTCTGTGGTTGGAGGTGTCTAGAAAGTATTGAGGTGGGCGCAGTGATTGGCTTTTTAGGGGAGGAAGACACCATCCTCCAGCGCTGTAGAGTGAGCGAGAACGGTTCCCCTTCCTCTGCGCACGTACCCCCAAAACACGAAGACCCATATGGACTACCCTGGAGTAGAAAACCCCCTGATGTCTCAGGAGAATGATGGGTTGTTCCTGAAATGTGCCCTTTGGGAGCTTCTTAGAGCCCCGTGATAACTGGGGCTTGGTCCCCTTCTGCTTTCTCTCTGTTTGGTAAGACAGCTTTTGCATTAGAATCTTTGAGACTAGCGAAGGTGTGAAGGTTGGTGATTTTTTTTTCCCCTTCCCAAGATTTTCAGCCTAAGCTTGGTCCTCTGGTCATTTGTGAATCATTGGACAGACACTGCTGGAGAATGTTTGACTGGATGAGGTCCCGTGCCAGGGTTAAAAAGATAAAGGAAACAGGCTTCAGCCAGGCAGTGGTAGCGCAGGCCTTTAATCCCAGCACCCGGGAGGCAGAGGTAGGTGGATCTCTGTGAGTTCAAGGCCAGCCTGGTTTGCAAAGTGAGTTTCAGAACAGCCAGGACAGAGAAACCCTGTCTTTAAAAAATAAAAAAATAAAACAAACGAAAACAAAAACAACCCACCAAACAAACAAAGGAAACAGGCTTCCATGTGTGGCTGGGCTGAGCAAATGCAGGACAGACAGCTCAGAAATGAGTGGTTTCCTCACACATCTCTGTATCCATTACTCAGCCGACCTTGCTACAAAGAGGAGCAGCAACCGAAAGGGTCTGCCCGTGATGATAAGATCCTGGAAATCCGCAGGAATGACAGAAAGCTGTGTTTTCATGCCTTCCATGTAACTTCCTGTCTTTGCACCCACAGAAAATACCAGGCAGAGTGGAGGTCCTGGGAGATCCCACCTGACTGGGTCCTGATGGTGAGCCATGGCGTCTGCATTCGCTCCACGAGCCACGCGCTCTGCGTTTCTGTTGTCTGCTCTCGGTCTGAATGCAAGGAACAGAGTGTAATCAAGCCCAGATCACAGTGTCTGGAAGCGGAACTCTGGTTTTTGAGGGAAAAAAATCACCATAAATGAACAGCTAATTTGCTAGTTTGGAATTCTATTGCACCGTAGCCAACAGAACAAAGTTAAGAGCCAGACTTGCCCAGGCTTGTGGGTTCAGCTAACTGTGCACTGCATTGTGGCTCCTGATGTAGTTTTAGCCTGGTCTCCAACCTTCAGAAGCCATCACTGCCTGGAGTGGAGACAGCGGCCACCATACCCACTGGGTTAAAAAAAAAAACAAAAAACAAGTCAGCTTCAAGCGTGCAAACCTACTTACTACACAGAGTTTGCAAAAGTAATGCCTTTTCTAGAAAAAGAAAATAAGCTAGGTCTTTTGCTTCAACAAGTCTAAAGCTGGGGAGACAGAAAATAAGTCAAAGACAAATGAATAGAGAGAGAACCTGAGACCAGTGAATGGGGAACCTGAGTAGGTTGTGCGGAGCCAAGCTGCAGGAGCCCGGCAAACCCAGAGGAGTGGTACCCACACCTTGTCTTGCCCTCCCCAATTCCAAACCATGAGACATCTGAAGACCTCAACAGAGCATAAAATAAACTTAGAAAGAGAAGCGGAAGCTGGAGAGCATCAACTGGCCGTGGTCATACAGCTCAGTGACGCCCCCTCTCGGACGCCGGGAAGCTGGGGTTTCAGATTCCTGTGCAAACGCTCGTATTTCATCCTGAGAACGTGGATGTTCAAACCGGAGAGTGGCAGCAACCTGTCTTCCAAGGAAATGGCCCGAGCCCGGGGTTAACAGCTCTGGGCTATTGCTCTTTCTCACTTTCTTCCTTCCCCCCTAAGGGGAGAAATCATTCCTTCATGTTGAATCATCTAGCAGGACAGTCTGGTGGCTGAGGATGCACAGGGAGATTGACAACCGCGCCGCAGCTTTGCAGCGATGCTGGAAAATGATGAGAGAAACCAGACCTCATCCGAAGCTGGGAGAGGCAGTGCAAGGTTCCCGGGTAGGGGGAGCTGACTCTGGGGTGGGGATATTGGAATGCTACATGCATATCTACTGTGGTGGTATCTTACAGTACCAGACTCCTCTGGACATGTGTGCAAGAGCCCTACATACGTATCTGCTGTGTGATGGGCTTTACAGTACTAGACTCTTCTGGACATGTGTGCAAGAGCCCTATTGTTTGGAGGGTCTCCTGTATTTCTTGGACTCCACTGTTGACGTAGGAAAACTCTGGGGTCAAGGGTATTTTCTGTTCCACAGAGAAATCTATGGCCGTGGGTCCAGGAAAGGCGCAGGGGCAACCTAAGTCGTGTGCTTCTTTGCTCTGGGGCTCTGCAGTGGTCTTCATACTCAAGATTAAAACTAGGTTCAAGAGCTAAGTGAAGTGAGACAATGAAATCTCCCTGGGCTCTCAAGGGTGCTTCACAAGACTGCTGCCCCAATTATTTCAGGCTTAATCTTAGGCTTCACCTTCCCAGAACCCGGCATTCCAGGTAGCAGCCTAAGCTGATATTTATTTCACTAGTTAGTTATCCAGCCAACTAGTTAGTTAGTGAGGGTAAGGAAAACAAACCCTAGGGCCTTAAGCAAGTGGTGAGCTTAGGCCTCAGCCCAAAGCTGACGTTCACAAATGGATGACCTTCATCTAAACACTTCCTTTCAGGTTTTAGAAACCAGAAAGAGATCTTGGCCTCAATGCAAAGCCAGATAAAGATTCTTTGCACAGCTAGGCAGTGGTGGCACCATCTTTCTTCCCAGCATTCAGGAGACAGAGGCATGAGGATTTCAGTGAGTTTGAAGCCAGCCTGGTCTACAAAGTGAGTTCCAGAACAGCCAGGACTGTTACACAGAGAAACCCTGTCTTGAAAAACAGACAACAAACAGACAGACAAACAAAAAGAAGGTCCTTTGCATAGGTCACACTGAGTCTGGCCCAACGGTGTCACGCTCACGGAGTTGTCATGACCTACCCTGTTCAGAAGGTTCACCTTCCTACTGGTCATGTTTGGAGTATTCTGTGTACTTGTTTCTTTGGCGGTGCTGAGGATCAAACCCAGGGGTTCATGGATGCTAGGCAAGTGCTCTGCCACCAAACTACTCCTCTGTCCCTCAACATTTGCTTGACTTATCTTTTTTTTTTAAAAATGATACCATAAATCACACTTTTCAAGACTGTTTTCCTTTTGAGTAATTGTTTTTTTTGTTTGTTTGCTTGTTTGTTTTTACAGAGAACCCACTAAAGGTCAACATTCATCTCTCACTGACCATACATTTAAGGGTTGTTTCTATCTGTTAACCAACAAGAAACATAGTGGCACTTACACATCTGAGGTGCTCACCCCTCTTTCCAAACCTCACTGTGGTAGAGTAAATCCTGTTAATAAATAGAATTGCTACTGAGGATAAGCTTGCTCAGAATGGCCTTAAACTAAATCAGGTCTCACTTTTACCAACAACACATGAGGAGTCTGTAGTTGAGCTATCTAGCATCATGTGTAAGTTAGGGTGAGCTACTTCCTGCTTCCTCTCTGCTGTTCATGCAGCTGAGGGATGAGCCACTTCCTACTTCCTGGGGTGAGCTACTTCCTGCTTCCTCTGTGTTGTTCATGCAGCTGAGGGGAAGCCACTTCCTACTTCCTCTCTTCCCTTCATGCAGCTGAGGGATGAGCCACTTCCTACTTCCTAGGGTGAGCCACTTCCTGCTTCCTCTCTGCTGTTCATGCAGCTGAGGGATGAGCCACTTCCTACTTCCTGTGGTGAGCTACTTCCTGCTTCCTCTGTGTTGTTCATGCAGCTGAGGGGGAGGCACTTCCTGCTTCCTCTCTGCTGTTCATGCAGCTGAGGGATGAGCCACTTCCTACTTCCTGGTATGAGCCACTTCCTGCTTCCTCTCTGCTGTTCATGCAGCTGAGGGGGAGGCACTTCCTACTTCCTCGGTGCCCTTCATATGGCTCCACCTTACTGAGCAGAGACTTGGCAGGCTGCCTCCTCCTCTCTGCACCCCTGAAATCATTACCACGTTGCTTCTTGCATAATGCTGTGCTGCATAGATGCACCAGAGAAGGCTGTAGACAAGTGTGGGCATGCCTCTTGTGCAGCCCCTAAGATACCCATTTGCTATACCTTTCCTGGATCACAAATCACCCCGAAGTTGTTGGCAGGGACTCAGATCAGAGAGGCTGACACACTCAGTCACCCCACACTGTGGATCTGACAGTGGATCTGTTCTAAGAACCCAGTTTTCTTCCATCTTTTAAAATTGCCTTTCCCATATCCAGAGTTACCAAAATTCACCGAATTTGAGTACATTATGATTGAGTATTCTATGGAGTCAGATACTATCAGTATTTATCCAACGGGCAGAGCAGAGACTTCAGCGTTTGCCTGAAGGGGGCTTTGGTAGGAAGAGAGACACCCTAGAAGTACTTCCGTGTGTGTTGGGGGATGGGGGCGCTGAGAAGAGAAGTCACTCCATCCTAGAGGGAAGATGAGGTCTCAGGAGACATGTTTCTGAGTACTACAGCACGCACTGGAATCAGTCAAGCACAGAGTGGGGGGGGGGGCACAACAGAAAGTTGGGGGTGTCCCCAACTCTCAGCATTAAGCTAAACAGCTTCTGGACTGACAGTCTTCCGAGAACGATTTGCGTTTGGTAGATGCTACACTTCAGATTCTGAACGCTGAATTTTGTCTACAGTTTCCTTCCTGACCCAGCGGCAGGAGAAGTACGCAGCTCCCACCAGCCAGGGGACCGCGAGCCTGCCGTCAGTGCTCCATGGAGCACTGGAGATGCCAGCACATTTGGACACTAGACTGGAGACAAGGCAAACGTGTCGGTATCCTCAGGCCAGGAAGAGATCAGGTCAGTTAACCTCGGGCAGACTGCTTTGGCTGCAGGATGGAGTCAGACCGGAGAGAAAGAAAAAGAGCAAGAAGCTGGCCGAGAGTTTTAGAGAGAAAAGAAAACTATAGCCTGGCCTGGGTGTGGGGAAGCGGGACAGGGAAGAGGAGATGGGCAGGGTTGGGGAACTGAACGAGTCAAGGGGAATCTGACGAGGGAGTAGAAGAGCACAGCTGAAGACATATGATGGCACTGTCCGTAGAGCCCTGGAGGACCTTGTCACGGAAACAACCTCACAGCTCTAAACGGAAGCTTTCAAGACACAGGTCCTAGGCGAGTCATGGAGGGCAGAAACCCCTTATGTGTTTGGGCGGAAATGAGAGGAGACTTCTTTAATTTGGATTTTAACATCCCAAAGCCCTATGTGTCCACAGGGTTCCCTGGAGTGCAGCAACTGGGAAGGAGGTGGGCCCATTAAGAGGTAGAGCCTAATGCTAGAACTTTAGGTCATCCGTGAGTGTGTCCTTTAGAGGGTTGGGGGGGAGGTCCCAGGCTCTTTACTCCCGGCCGAGGGGTGAGCGGTTGTGCTCAACCACTCACTCCCACAGGGCACTGAAGACGGATGGGCTCCGCTACAGTGGTGAGTCACAGTCAACCTGTTCTGAACTGGTGGCTCAGGAGCTTTGTCATGGAGACGGAAAGCTGACTAACACCGGAAACATCAGGTTGGTAGGTCTGGGGCTCAGAGCGGTCAAAGCTCCAGGCCCTAGGGGAACTAGAGAAGAGATGTGGGGTCTGGATGGAACTCAGTCCCTGTTCACTTTCATTCACAAACACAGATAAGGATACCTAACCGAGGCTAAACTGGGGCTAGCTGGTTCGCGGCTTGCTGATGTCTAGGCTCCCTTTAGTGGGGGCACAGTCACAATGAAGACAAGCCCTTCGGAGAGATTAAATGCTGCCATTCTCTGGCCACTCATCCGTTCTTTCTTGATGGGTTGAAGCAGCAGTCTTTAAACAGAAACAATGTTCTCCTTTTCTTTGTTTCAGTCCACCCACAGGATTGGGGTCTGCCCAGCCTCCTTTTATTTTCTGTTTAATAAGAGACGTTTAACAAAATGAAGGGCTCCCTCAAAAGTAATGTAGGTGCAGTCGGCATAAGGAACCTGCCCCATTTGGATTCTATTAGGAAATTAACCAGTTAAACCCTAATGAGTTTGGAAAAAGCTGACCACAAAGGGTAAAATAACACATCAGCACCCCCAGCAACTCCAAGACAGAACTGAAACCAAATAAAATAAATAGATTAGTTTTTCAAACATCTCTCCAAGGAAACAGGATTTAGTAAGTTGAATAGGGAGTATTCATAACCCAAGTGAAAGTTGGGAAAAGGAGCCAGTAATGGGCAAATGGGAGAAACTTGACCATCCCTGTAGATCCCGGCCACACAATCCCTCAGCAGTTACGTTCCAGCAGTTTTGACCCCAGGACACCCCCAGTTTCCTGATTGCCTTTCATGTTTCAGAAAAATCGCATTGGTACATTCATATGTGAAGAGAAAAATCACCAGTTATCCAGAACTTAAAACTCTGCACAAATTAAAAACTTGCTGTGTTATCAAATGTTGTTATCTCCCCATCCTACATCCCCAAGAATAACACATCCACCACTTTGCGGGGGGGGGGGGTGCAGACGAACATACTACTAGGTAGAGGAAATGCCCATCACTTCCACTTCCTGCGGCTGTGCCTACTCACAGGGGCCACACGAAAGAGGCAGCTCCAGGGGGCACTGCCACAGGGAGGGTGCTGAGAACGGCGAAGGCATCTCACAGAACGTGAGCCCACTGACTACTTCCAAACACTGCTGGCCACTGCTGGCGTGGAGGAGAGACAAGGCAAAGGGTCACATTGCTGACAGTTTCCCTTCTGGCTGACTTGCAATCGACCAGCTAAACGGCTGGCTTCAAATTCATTCCAGTCCCCCCAGTCTCAGAAGAGTCTAGTTCAGGGCCAAGTTTCCACTGCAGGCCCACCTTATCTCATACTTCTGGACTCAAGCCTTATAAACGAGAGGCCCGTCCTAGAGTAGGAGGAGGGCTGGCGTTGGGTTGAACTGAGTCTGAACAGCTCAGCAGCACAAAGAGCACTTCCTCCTCGCCAGCCTCCGCGTGAGCCATCCCTTCCTCTAAATTTACAGTTTCATTTATCCCCACTGTCTGAAGGGCAATGTCCTTCTGTATCTATGTTTCTCTTATTGGTCAATGAATAAAACACTGTTCAGCCAACGAGGCAGGAAGACAGGCGGGTCTAGGAGACAAGGAGAATTCTGGGAAAGGCAGGCACACAGGGTCACCATGCTGCAGAAGGAGCATCAACATGCCTGGGCATTGCCAAATAAGCCACAGCCTGGTGGGGAAACGCAGATTGATAGAAATGGGTTAATAATTAAGACAGAGCTAGCCGAGGAGAAGCCCTTTCCACCAGCCAACATCTTTATAATTAATATAGCATCTATGTGCTTATTTAGGGCTAAAAGCTGCAAGACAAGGCAGGGCAAGAGACCTTCCACAACAACTGTCTCAAAGAAACATCTCGTCGAACAGAGTTCCTAGGGTCCAAGACGTGGCTCAGCGGTTAAGAGCACCGGCTGCTCTTCCAGAGGACCCGGCTTTAATTCCCAGTACCCACATGGCATCTCACCAACATCTCTAACTCTGGCGTCAGGATCCGATGTCCTCTTCTGCTCCTCACAGGCACTACACGCATGCAGCGCACAAACATACGTGTGGGCAAAACATAAAAATGATTTTTTAAAAGTTTCTCTGTGACAAAGTATTATGGCTTAAATCCTTGAACTTGACGTTTTTCTTTTATTCCTGCCCCTTAGACTTCGTTTCCTAGCTGCCCTCGTGTTGGGGGAAGTCCTGTGTATATGTCAATAAATTACTGCTGGCCAATAGGAATCTAGATGGGAGGGACTAGTGTTGGGGGAAGTCCTGTGCATTTGTCAATAAAGTACTGTTGCGCCTATAGGGAACCAAGATAGGAGGGACTAGGAGTCCAGGAGGATTCTGGGAAGAAGAAACACAAGAGGGTTCGAGATGTAACCGCCATTGGGGTAGGAAGCCTGGAACTATTCTCCGGTAAGAGACATACTTAGATTAACAATTATGGGGTAATTACTTAAGTCAGAGCTAACCAGTTAGAAACAAACAAGGTCAACAGCTTCATAATTCATATAGCCTCCTGTATGTTTCTTTGGGACTGATGCCGATCTGGAACCAGGTGGGCGGGAAGGCATTCTCTCAAGAAAAAGCTTCTCTTAACACCCTCGCCATTAGTTGTAGTTAATGCAATCAAATTCTAGCTCGTGGGAGGCCTGGCCACCCCAGGTCCCCACAATTGCTGCCTGTGCTGTTTGCCCTTCAGGTAGGTCAGAATGAAGATAGCACTCGGGCAAACTAGGTATTTATGGCTTGAAGATCACATTGAACTGTCCCAAGGAAGACCTCCGTGTGAGTGGTGGTTAGAACAGAAAACAGATCAGAGCTCTCCAGGGGGTGGTCACACTTAGCCCCCATGTACCCATGCAATAATCAAACCAGCCAGCATGTGTGACCCGTTTTCAGCTCTGGGACACATGTTCAACGGTGGGCGCTGACCCTAACTGACCCAGGTAGATAAAGAAACTCACATGTGCGAGCAGAGATCCTACGGACTCCATGTCTTCCCGGTAGTTCCCCAAGGACCAAAACCTCCAATTAAAATTTGGTGTCTGTCCATACCCACACTATTCTGGAGACGAACTGCATGGGTTTCTTCGTGTTCCAAGTGGCGTCTCACTCCAACACGCCAGGAGCCGCTAACTGCAGAGAGGTTCTAGTGAGGCAAAGGCATGATTGGGCTGGCCTTCTGTGTTTACATTTGACTTAAACCCATTCTCTGTCAACAGCTGCTCTTAGTGCTGGGAACAGTCCATTTCCTCTCTCTCTCTCTCTCTCTCTCTCTCTCTCTCTCTCTCTCTCTCTCTCTCTCTCTCTCTCTCTCTCTCTCTCCCTCCCTCTCTCTCTCTCTCTCTCTCTGTCTCTCTGTCTTTCTGTCTTTCTCTCTCTCTCTCTCTCTCATTCTTTCACTGGCTTTCTGATTCAGCTTCCCTATATGCCTCCAGCTTCCTGTAGTCTCTTTCCCATGATGATTCTGCAACAATCACTTTTGAGCATAAATTATTACCGCAGCCCTCCGACAGCTTCTCGTCACAGTTCTATAAGCCTCTGGTTGTCACTCTAGGGTCTGTGACTTGTCCACCTCTCCTCCCTTCCCCAGTTTCCTCCTGAAGGACCAGTGGGGAGTGCTCCGTGCTTTCTGCACCCTAGCTTGTTTCTCGTAGTCTCCAGTTGTGAGGTCAAACGTCATGCCCGCCCTCCCTTTAGTCCGAGCCTCTCTGAGGCCCCCTGTATCCGCTCTCTGTTGTCTTATTCCCATTTGGAGACTTGAATAATGACATAGTGTCTACCTCAGAGTCACCTGGTCTCAAAGTACGGAGGCTAGCTCATTTCCCCCTAGCCACCTGCTGTCGGCTGGCAACTTCTGGCAAAGAGAATGTCTCTGTGCGGAGTCATGGGTAGCTTGCAGCCACAGGTTAGTCCACCGTACGCCAAAACATGATATTTGAAGCACTCCAAACTCAGAAAGATTTGAGCACCGGCCTCTCAGAACAGAAGAGCTGCATGTAAGATGCCAAGCTCAGGCTAAAGAACATCTGGAATGCAGGTGCATTAGAAATAATGAGTTTAATTACCGTCAGGCTATGTATATGTGACACACAATTAAATCCTGTGTTTAGGATTAGAGTCCAGCTCCAGGATGTCTCATTATGCATGTGCAAATATGAAAATATTCTAAAATTGAAAAAAATTACAAAATCTTAAAATGTTAAGCAATTTGTAGATAAGATGCTCAACTTGTCCGGGGTGGTGGCAGCTGAGGGCTATGTCTGGGCCACTTAGAAGCTTTGCTGTAGGGAGCCTACTTGCGAGGTTTACCATTATCGCCAGAGCTGGTGCAGGCAGTCAGGGCTCTAGAACTGATGAAAGCAACATTTTAAAAAACATAACAGTATCAAGTATAAAAAGCACAAAGGAAATGCCAGTGATTAAATCACAGATGCAATGTAAAATCACTAGGCTTTGTGAATACACTAGCTACCTGATTCCCTGTATACCTATGAAGGGGCTCCACTAAACACAGCACAGCTTGTCATCTGAATCTGTGGGTTCTGCATGTGAGGATTCAACCAATCACCATCTGAAGATATACACACATACATACACAATACATACATATGTGCCTACAGACATACACACTAGATACATACATGCATACAGACATACACAATACATACATATATACACAGTATATACATGCATACACAATACATACATGCATACACACATATGCAATACATACATACAAATACAATACATACATACATGTACAATACATACATATACACATATACAATGCATGCATACATATACAATACATACATACACACATATACATATACAATACATATATATACACAATACATACATACATATATGCGCAATACACAGATTTACAATACAAATACAATATACACATACATACACAATACATACATACATATACATATACACAATACATACATGCACAATACATACATACACACATACATACACAATATATACATACACAATACATATATACACAATACATACATATATGCACAATACACACATATACAATACAAACAAATACAATACATATACATATATACATGCACAATACACACATATACAATACATACAATGGATACAAATACAACACATACATAATACATACATACACAATACATACATACATATCTGTTCCGAATATATGTTGGTCACTATTTCCTAAACACTGTAGCATGACAACATTTATACAGAATTTACATTATATTAGACACCACAAGTAATCTAGAGAGATGATTTAAAGTATACGGAGGGTCGCACTCAGGTTAGGTACAAATACTGTGCCCTTTTGCACAGGAGCTCTGAGAACCTTGTTATCCACACCATCCTGAGCTGGCCTCCTGAGGGTACTGGGGGTGGGTGTTCAGTATTTAAAGGTGAGAAGCACCCAGGAGCCAGCACTCCAGACAGCGATGTGGAGTACAGATACTAGACTAGATGCCAAGGTGTTTGGCTCTCTCCTGCATGGTGTAGAGTGAGCCTTTCCTACAGACATTAGCGACACACACTGAACCCTGATGAGAACACTGACACCTGGCCTAATACTGTTTCCCTGAGCCTGGCATCTGGGAAATGTGAGCTCCTGGGCAATTTAAAGAAAAGCATTCAGTCAACTGACCTAGATTCTTCTCTGCAAAAATAATCTTCAGATTCTTCCAGGCCTTTTTTCTCGTCTTAAAAGGAGAGCCTGCACTCTGCAGAAGAAATCTTATTAATACTTGCTTATTAATACTTGCTGCATGACAGGCGCTTAGGAGAGATTAGGTACTACCTTAATTAGGGGAACTCGGTCAGCATTTGCTGTCACATTTGAAAAACAACAACAAAAGCTGAAACAAAACAAAACAAACAAACAAAAAAAATACTAGGCGCCCATGGAATTGAAGTCCAGAAGCCTCAAGCGAGAAGAGATGAAATCAGTCTTCCTTGAAGCACAGCAAGGCGTCCCAATCCTGTGTTTCCAACAACTAATTTTGGCAGTTACTTTTCCTTTTCCCTTTGAACACATGGGCTATTTCAAAGAAAACTCACCTCTTCTCACTCACAATTAAGTAATTATGCAAAGCACTGGGTTTTCCAAATCAACTGCAAATTCCAGAGGGCTCCATAACAAAGGCGGCAGCCTCCTGGATGAGTGAAAGGTGGGGCCCCCTGCTCTGGGCTCTTATTCCCCAGGCTTGGGCCTGGAGGAGGGTCAGTCAGCCCTAACTAATAACAAGACGTGAGAGAGCAGAATCAAAGCTTCTCCTCTGTCCTGTGCCACCCCAGCGAGAGCTCAGAGTACTCTGAAAACATTTTCCCAGCTGTCACAAACTCCCCGAGGGAAAGGGGGTGACGACCCGTCTGCACACACACACACACACACACACACACACACACACACACACACACTCCCGTCCCTTCTCTTCAAAGCTGACCAGTGAGCAAAGGCTTCACAAAGGCCTTGCTTTAGAAGCGACTTCAGTGGCCCTCTAAGAGAATGACAGGCCCATGGCGCTTGGCGAACAGTTTAGGGACACATTCTCTTGGTTTCCAAGGAGAACCCAGTGAGTCAGACCTGGAGGACTTGCTCAGACTGGTCCACAGTGCCCTGACACCGAGCGAGACCCCGAGGAAGGAAGGTTCCCCGCGCCCTGCGCTTCACAGCTGGATCTGCTTGCTGCCTTTACAAATCTTGCCTTTTCATTTACGTCGTTGATTTTCGCGATTGTACTGCTGAGAGTGCACGCACGACATAGAAATTCAATGTTAGTCCCTCTGGAGGATTATCACCCACTGCAGTTAATGCAGCAGACCGCCCAGGGAGCTCTCTGAGGTGCACAACGGGATTTTACGGGAGGCAGCCATGCACACTTAGGTACCCAGCCGCGAACAGAGATTTTTTTTTCTTGTTGAGTCTAGCCAAGGTCAGAAAAAGTATGAGACTGATACCACAGCCAAGATGTTTGACCTTCCTGCCATATTCTCTTTCTTGGGAAGCCCTCACTGCAAAACAGAGCAAACAGGGTCATGTGCACCAGGTGAAGCAAAGCGCGTTGGCTAAA